GGCTCCACGCCACGTTTTTTTTTCCTTCCAAGCCGAGAGAGACTATGCACCGTTATAGCAAAGGGCAATTACGAAGAGCAGCCTATCCTTTAATGTCCCATTGTTTAGGAAATGGAGCAGCAACAAACGCTCGTTCGTAATTACTCGATGAGAAGGAGAGGTTGCGCGAGCTAATTCCGGTAGCTCGGCTTCTCATTGAAAAATTTTCTACTGTGTACTACACCTAAGAGTCGGACGCAATTAGTATTGAAAGAAATTAATTAAGAAACTGTTCTTTTATGTAGGTACATAAATAATAATGGTTCATTGTCGTTTGGGTTTCGAGGAAAAGCTTATAAATTTAAACATGTGAGTCAGTAAGCTTTTCGGATCTGTGTGATCTCGGAGAAATTATCTTGCGGTGGTATCGTGTCTGCTGCCAAAATCCAACCCGAAGTCCGTAGTAAAGGAAGATAAATCTAATCTTGATACCCCGTTGGGAAACCTCCTCCGCCACTTTGTGTCCCAGAAAGAAACGGGCTAAATCAGATTCTGCAGCAGCAGCTCCGGTTGCCTGGAGACGAAGCGTCGCGGCGCCTCGCCATACGGGCGTCGGCAACGTCGCGACGTCTGGTCTATTATAGGAAAAAACCTTGTTTTCGAACTGCTAATGGCTTTGTTTTTATCATTCTCGATAAACCCAACGCTAGTCATCAAAACCCTTAAGATTTTACGCAAAGCGTTTGTAGTGTAATCTAAAAAATTTACATTTATATTGGATTTTGACAAAAACTCAATATCCTGAGTATTATTGTTTTGTCCCTTTTCTTTTTACATTCTTGGCACGTATAAAATTGAATCATTTTTATCATTTTTTTTGTACAATCGAAGTATTCACATTTATACAGTAAATTTCACTTAAGATGCAATATACAAAAATATATTTCCATAGAAAGCAGGGCGTACCTACTTACTTTGTCCCACATAAAATGAACATGTCAATATAATTTGACTTTACAGTAAAACCTCGATATAACAGATCAATACGAGGAACGCCGTGTCCGGTATAGCTCAATAAAAATATACAACAATCTAGCGCTGAATAACAAATAAAACTAGACTAATACTAGCATTAGTACTAACACTAGGCGTAGAACTAGAAACATTCCGTTTAGCCGTACCTCTCTGAAGATGGCAGGTAGGTGGTAGCTAGCGCTAGTTAGCATGAAATATCACTATGTTGCATATTTTTATTGAACTAAAACTAGAAGTAACACTAAACCTAGAACTAGAATCATTCGGGTTTAGCCGTGCGTCTCTTAAGTCGGAAATTCAGAGTTATCATAAAGACTTCACCTTTTCCAAGCAAAACTTTTCCTTTGCAAAACTGTATTATTAATGCCTGTATTATTAAGCTATGTTGCATTTTATGTGGGACAGTGTAAGTACATAGTAGTTTCGTAATTATGGTGACTGCATTCATATATTGCGAGTTATATGAAATTCTCGGTATATTGGCATAATGGAAAAATTTTCCAGGATGAAATTGTTTGCTATGTACAAACCTTTTTGTCGATATAAACTTTAATCATGGCTCCTTTCCGTAGGGAACCCTTGCGTTCGATTTTAGTTTATTAGAGAGCTTGAAGAGAACGAATGAGGAGAAGGGGCGACTCTGGATTTGCGATTTAGATTGGATTCTTCGTCGCCTTCCGATCGCGCGAAGTAGGAAGGATCCCAACGTGGACGTTCGTTCGTTTGGATCGTAACTTTACGGGCGGGGGCCCCGCTTGTTTATGGGGTGCGAGTTACGATCGCGCGGCCGTTTCATTTGCATCTGGCCGCGCGCACTTTTAGCAAATTGCCGGGATTTATCTCCGGGAGTTTTATGAGCACCATCCGGATCTGAACGCCAACGATTTTTTTTTTATCGAATAAAATACCGGTTCGGAAAAATTAGTTTCCAATTTTAATCTGCGCCATACACCATGTTATGATACTGCAGTTATCCTGTTTTACCGACTTTAAATGAAAATACTCGATGTACATTTAGTTGCATATACGCAGTTTGTAATGAAATCTTTTTTCTTTCTTAACAGTTAAAAAACCTCATATCGAGTAGACATAGTATCATAAAATACAAAGAGCTATATCGTTACGTTCTGGACGATGGAAGTGCACCTGTTAATTAGCTCGATAAGTCGAGTGATTTATAGAATATGGACACGTCCGTTTAAATGAACTAAGATTTAAAAAAAGTCTCTTTTATTTCGCTCGGCTTCTTCGTTATAATCTTTAACACGCTCAACATTTAACAAAATGAAGTATTAAGAAGTGTACGTTTACACAACTTATAAATGTGAAGGTCCTTGTTAAGATTTACGATTCAAAATGTGTTCAAGAGATCCCCCATGGTTTTCTTCTTGAATTTATCTACTTCTGAAAATAGATATCTACCATTTCATACATTTTCGGTTCCGGAGTATAAACGACCTCGTTTTGCATAAGGTTCACATAACCAAATCGAACCGGGAACAACGAAAGCTACCATTGTCGCCTTCCTCCGATTCCGATCGACGACTATGAACTGGATGGTAGTAAATTCTGATGGAATTGCAAAAGGGAACACCTGCGACGCACATCCAGTTCAAAAGAAAGAAAAAGGGAACAATTCTATGAAAAGGGGGAAATCTCTTTGAGCAATTCTCGTATTAATAACAAATGAGTTCAAAAATACCGCTTAAGTGTAATTTTGAGAACGTTGGAGAAGAATTATAGATAATTAAGAAAGTAATAAGTAAACTTGTAGAATGTAAGAGGTTATTACTAGGAAATCATTTTAGAGGCTAAGAGTTAATAAGGAATTTGTGTTAAAACGATAATTACAAGAGATTACACGAAAGAAATTTAATTGCAAGTGAATTACAGAAAAGAAAATGAAGAAAAATCACTTCCAAGAAGGTTTCAAAACACTTTTCGTGAAATTAATTTAATAAAACCCAAATATAGTAAAAGTATTAAAACCGAATTATTATCTACTTGAATTACCGTTGTACCCACGGAAAGATTAAACTACATCTTAAAACATACCATCCGAAGACATTCCTTTTCCAATATCACTTACATTTCAAAGTTGGGTTTCCCGTTATATTTTAATTGCTAACGTGATATTGTAAAGCGTCTAAGTACAGTTCTTCGTTAATTTGTTGTCCTTCTCTTTTATACCGCAATGAAAACAGCGTATTGAACGGTGAGTAACGCAAAATGTGATGACCCATTTTTGTAAAACGGGTTGAATTAAACATTTCTCATCGTGAAAAATTTTGTTATAAAACTAAACTTTAACGGCTGAGAAAAGGTTTTATCGCTTATATTCGCGGTGGTATACTGTACCGTGGGGGAATTTTTCAATTTATAGTAAATTCTCGTCTACCATTAATATCAACTAGCACCGTGTTCCGAGCGGTAGCTGTGAAAATTAAATATGCAAATTGAGGGCGGCTTGTTTGAATAATTTCGACCCGACACGACGACAAGGATACCAGGATATAAATGAAATTTCTCTGGTGTACATTGGTTTTGGGTGTGGATTACCTTTTCAATCAGCGGTTCTTAAACAACGATCATTCATATTTATCATTCACTCTACACTTCCAAGTATTAAGTTATTTTGAACAAAATTACAAAGTCTACGACGAGTGTATATTTCAGTAACGTAAAAATGCAAAGTGTGAAAGTGAGTTAAACGCTGTAGCTTGGCATTACGATGGTGTAGATAGCAATGTGGTTTATTTAATGATTGTTAGAAAATTAATAAGCATTTACAGAAACCTTTCAAAATATGCATATGAATTTCCTCATAAAGCAGTGAAAAGATTTTATTCAATGAAGTTGTTGATGGCTACATAATTGCACGGTGATATTATGGAAAGAATTAAGTCGGATTCTATTATCAATGATTTCTTTATTAGCTCCATGTCGATTTATGATCTAGACTACAAATTTAATTGTAAACTTATACGCTTGTAGATCCTTAGTGGAGTATTAAGTGTTGTTTGTAATTCAGGAAATTAAGAGTCATGATGAAGAGATAAAATCAATACATAATCTACTAAAATTATTAATTGCTTGCTGAACTCACTGAGTTTTGGAATCAATGATCAAGAGTGCATTTTCAAGTACTGATAAGAATAAGATAAATAAAACGAAAACAAAGAACATAATCTAAGAACCGCATTGAAGAAATTAATCAGGTTAAAAGTTCAATACGACGATGAAGATTTTTTAATAGATAAGAACTACGTAAGTTTCGAATTTACTCAGGCGCGACGTCATAAATATTTATAAGGTACTACTTGAACAATGCTACAAAAAAGCTTTCTTGCAATTAAAATTAGATATAAAACATTACATGGGAAAAAGATTATAATATACTAGTTCCTCTTTAATTCACGCAACATTTGAATGGTGAAGAATTAAATGCAAAACCATAATACAACATAATCTTACAACTTTAACGTTGAAATTTACCATTTTTTGGCCATTTCCTTGTTATTCTATACCTCTGCGCTATTTTATACTTTATCTGATAAGTTCACTTCGCTTTTATCCATATTGTGTATATTATTTAAGCTTAATTTACTTCGAAGTCAGTGTATTTTCCATGATGCATTGAGCTGACAAGCAATTATACTTTATTTTTCTTGGGACTATAAGATTGTTTGTCTCATCACATCTTCTGCGATTTTCTGGTAGAACAGTTTTTCTTGACTATATGTATATCTGTCGAATGTTCTTAAACAAAACAAAACTCTCCTAACCTTATAATGCACAACAACTTCTTTTAAGGTATGCTGAAAGTTGCGATTATCTTTTTTAATTTTATTTTAGATTAACATTGTCAACAAATTTACGAGATAATTTTGATCTGGTGTAAGATTTATAACATAAAAGCACAGGAAGTGTATCGCGAAGTACCTTTAGTGACGACAATGTCTTCAACTCCAATTTTCTTTTTCTAGATGAAGAAGTGCTGATGATTCCGAGGAAATCGAACAATATGAGGTTGCTCAATATTGAGAAAGCACCGACAGTACTAAGAGTTACAAAAATAAGCAGCTGAAGCAGTGAAACATTCATGGAGTCTAAAAGGAGCAACTGAAGAGGTAAGAATATTTAATAGTTCTTAGAATTTGATTGATTGATGATTAGTTAGATAACATAGTAGAACTAGTCACAAGATATAGGCTTTTCAATTCATAAGACCACAATGTCTCAAATCGATTTTGCAAAAAAAAAAACAAATTCTTTGGTTCTTACAACGTTGATTTTATATTGATCTATTATCATGAACTACTTATTCTGTCACCCTATACTAGAAATATCAATCAAATCAATTATAATTATGTTTGTAATAGAATAAGGGTGAATTGTTGTAAGATTCTAATCGAATAATTGGGTGTGTAACGTCAAGTGGGTTTTTGAGAGAGTGTAAGTGAATTTATTAGACGTTACAGTCCTCGCCCATCTGAGTTTCTTTCACCCTTCAATGATTTCCCCCATAGCAGCACATAGTATTCATCAGTCACATATGCGCTAGCACATAAATAAGGATTTATTAGAGTGCTGGCGTTGCTTGGTAAGGCTTGCGTTAGGGTGGGCGTGCATATTTCCGCAATTTTCTGGGGGGTTCTGTTCTGAGTCATCACCTTAACAGAATAACTACCACACTTTTTCGAATATAATTTTTGATTTAGCCACTTCAACGAAATGGGAGAAGAAAGGATGCAAAATAAACAAACAAATAAAACCTCCAACTAAATTTAACGAACGCTTCTCTTAGTTATTTTCGTATTCCAAAGTCTTTGTTAGGTGACAGGGTGATTTATCAAGGAGGAGGCTGTAAAAGCGAGGGCGGTGCTTTTGCAGCCCTCGACACAGACGGTAGGTTCTTTGGCAATACAGTCACGTCCGGTCAAATTAAATTTTGCGGTTTCCTTTGCTCCGGCGGCGACGTCTCGACGCCACTGCGTCAGCAAACTTTTAGCTTCACACCCATCTACCAGAAGTTCTTAACATTTCATTTGCCCCCTAACATTTTGTGCACGTCTTCTATCCATATGACCCTAATCAATCAAAAAACCTTCAGGCAAATGCAAAAACCGTCAACCCAACCCCTTTTCTGTTGTCGACAAGGAAGAAATATATCCCGGTTAACATGAACGATCGCAAGGGGGGTAGTAAAACGTGCCACCTGAGAACGTCGTCTTCGTCGCGACGGCCGGATAGTGCGTATAAAGAACGACGGATGTCGTTGTACGTCGTGTCAACACATCGATCACCCAGCGGTCGTCCGAAAAACAAAAAGAGGGGGATTAGGTCGTTATCGTGCTAAAAGAAATCCCTGCGAATCCTGAATCCCGATTCTCAACCAGGTTTACCCTCTAAAAAGGGGAGAGCGAGTTGTACAGGACCTTGATACCATTAGTCTCTGTCTAAGGTAATCTCTTCGTTGGAAATGAACGAAAACGTATGTAAAAAAAATATAGAAAAAACAACACAAATTAAGAACTTTACATATTCTTTTTTTAGCCGATATAGATCTGTCACGTTGCTCTAGTGAAGGGAGAAACACAATAGAATTCCGGAGATTCTTTCTTTCTGTCAAGTATTAGGGATGAATCTGGATTGTCTTTGTTTGTGGATTCAAAGAAAGCCTTCTTTGTGCTTGTCCGCTCGTTGATATCTCAGTATGAAAACATGGGATTAAATAGAAAGGCAGTGCAGTAAAACCGCGATATAACGGACTATTAATATTATCTATTTCATACATCAGTATATTTAAATATAGATGTTAGCGGTAGAAGAATACAATTCGGGTTATTTTTCAAGTTGCTCTATTCCATGTTCATAGAAAAACTCGGATTGTTGTTTATTATGCATTGAACTAAAACTAGAACTAACACTAGACCTAGAACTAGAAATATTCGGGTTTAGCCGTACGTCTCTTAAGACGGCTAAACCCAAATGATTCTAGTTCTAGGTCAAGTGTTAGTTCTACTTTTAGTTCAATAAAGATGTACTAATAATCTAGCACTGAGTAACCAGTAAAACTAGAACTAACACAGCTTTAGATTCTTGATTCTTCTACTGCAGTGTGAAAAATTAAAGATTAAAGTATTCGTTAAAAAAATTAATTACTTTTAAACTGTCGGTTTAAAACAAATGAATGGATTCAAGTCAGATTTAATCTGATTTTGCGATGAGTTGGCGGTGTGTTCAGATGGGAGAATGCAGCCCGCTCCGGATTAATTTAATTAGACCAAGGTGACGAGACGGTGAGAATTGACGTTGATTCCAATTAGTGCGCAAGTTGAAGTCGGTTAATTAATCAAATTTTAAATAGTTCCCTTCTGAAATGTTAATACAAACGCCCTCAAAGGGGGTGGTTACTGAAACGGCAAACTGTTAAACACAGTTTGATTTTACAATAACACCTGCTTAGAATGTTATATATGCATGCTACATTATTTAAGTTGTATTATTAATTGAACTAGTAGTATAAAATCATTTCCTTAGTAATTAATTTTATACTGTGCGCAATTACAATCGAAGGATACATGATTACTCGGCGATATCTTAAATTAAAATAACCGTACTCTTTATAGAGGATACTCAAGAAAGATACCGTACAAGAACATGCATGGCATCTAATTAATTCATTTTGAAGGGCGATGAATCATTCTCCAATGTAACCCGATATCTAATTGAGATCTAATCAACACAACACATTTTATATATAACAAACTCCATTTTTACCTTATTTTAGCGATCTTGACAACGGTTCTAGATGGACTTTTTAAAATTTTCGGTGGTTGTAACGACAAATCAAGCCGTTTCCTCGCTGCAGTCGGACTGCTTTCACAAAACTCAGAACTTTTTAACGATGAGTAACTCCCTAAATCACTTTTCTCATGTTTTCCCGAACTATTAATTGGTAACGTTCGAAAATTTGGTGGTGTCGTTCTTTCACAACAAGGTATAGTCGTACTATCTGAGTATCTCCTTTCATCGTATCCACGACAAAAATATTTAACTTCCTCATTTTCATCAATGTCCGAGATGTAATGTTCATTAAAATATACATCCGCTCCAACGGTAGCTCTTTGATGTGATATATCACCAAATTTGCTTCGTAATTCTTCCGTTAAGTTCTCCACCTCTTCGAATTCTCGAAATAAATCGGAATCTGTGGATAGGTACTTGTTTTTCTTAGTTTCTTTCGACGCTAATTTTACGGCACCTGGATGATGTTTATTTTTAGATCGAACGATTACTTCTTCTGGTCGTTCCCCTATTTTGGGTAAGTCGAAATGAACGTTTCTTCTTGGTAGTGCAGGAGACGATGAAGAAGAAGATGCAAGTCTCTCGTAACTATTTAATCCGTGAAAACTTCCATATCTTAAACTTGAAGTGATATCTTTATTGACGGAAGCGTAAGTTCCAAAGGCTGTAGTTCTCGACAATATTGGAGATCGTCCAAAATCGGAACTCATAGAGTTCCAGATCCTTCTTCTTGTGGGGTTTAATTCCGCCATTGGGGGTGGCGTTGCCATCGGCAAATCCGCTCCTAAACTCGGCGACTCCGCTTCATATCGTCTCCCATCCATCGTGTCGGTTGGTTTATATCAATTCTTTGTTTTCCTTTTTACGATCAAAGGTTTTCTCCGATCGCCGCCTTTTGTTTTAATACAAAGGATTGCGACGACGCGACGACAACGAATCAGTCCCATTTCGTTTGATAGTTCGAACGAAAAGACGGCGGATCCGATGTGAAATGTCTACTTTTTCGCCACCGGCAGCACCACAACCGAAAGATAGATACGAAAGATGGTAGTAAAACCGGCAAGGATCGTAAACTGAGCACTAAAAATTATCAATGTTCACCGTCCTTCGGGGTTTATTACTTTTGATATGAGCTTCTTCTTTAGGGGCGACAACGTTTCCTTTACGATTTTTAATGGATTAAGAAGATGTTTATTACTTTTATAATCAAAAACTGGTTCTGATAAAATACTTTTTGTACACTCTGTACTAATTCGTATGTACACAATCGTTCAAAAGTACATGACAGCTACGCGGTAAACATAAAGGGGTGGATTTGTCATGTAAACGTCAATGTCACCCGTAAAAGCGAAAGTTCTCAAAAAACAACAATTTAAAACCGGTTAAAACCGAAAAAATTAAATGTTTTTTAACCGAGTTATTCACCGCGCGACACTCTACATAAAACTAAAAGTGATTAGACATTGCGAACGGAACAAGGGTTACCACCCCCCGTGTATACAATACGGGAGGTGTTTTGAAGGGCGAAGGGACACGCGGGGTACACTTGCACACGTAAGGGTGGCCCTCGATGACTAAGCGCAGTTACCGCGATGATATGGATATATCCGGGGGACAACGCGGGACGGGGATTCCTAGCCGGTAACCCTCTATGCCGATTTGGAACAACTGTGCTCTCTGTACTGCGTGCGTGTGAGAACGAAGTAGTTGATTATTCGGTGATTTTTAGGGGGTAAATTTCGGTTTATTTGAGGAGAATAAAAGTAGCTAGTTTTGGGAAATTATATTCTTTTAACCTTATTAGCATTCTGACATTGTTATTAGAATATTTTTTTGATTCATCATTGCTACAGTTTAGTACAACTATGATATGTCTTAATTGGGTTGTTTGCATAAAGCAAGAGAAGAGTAAAAAAAAGGTAGCTAATTCTGTAAGTGTCAAAAGCTGTTAGGCCAAAGTGATACACAAGAACTATATAGGTAATTAACCCGGGAAAATAATAAATATGACCTCTGTGGGTAAAGTAACTTGAGAACTTTAACCTATTTCACTTGATTTCATTAAAATAAGCGGATAAAAAAATACACCATTTAATACCGAGATTTCTTCTATTAATATAATATAATGATATGTTGATACCTTCAAGTTCATGTTCAGCTGCAGCGGATTGAATTTTAATAGCATTTACCGAGGTTATCAAAAAAAACTAACATAATAAACAACCGCAAATAGAATTGTAAAATCGCTCTCTCCAAAGTTATTTTTTTTATTCTCTCAAACCGACGCGAAACCTTTACAATTGTTGTTACGTTTTCGCGGCGAATAAATTCGCTCCATGTGCAATGTAATTAATTGCGGAAGATATTCAAACTAATGCGGAACATTCTCTTCGTTACTTCCTTCTTCGGATCCTTACGTCTTTGTGTAATAAATCGTATAATATCGATATTTTTAATTTTAATAGTGGGCACAACTACTTAATTTTATGGTCAGGTATTCAACGTTGCAGAATTGTTACAAAAGCAGCAACTTCTATTGCGTCCATGCCTTTCGTCCACATCATATAAAAAGAGGAAGATGAAAGTCTTGATTCTGCTATCTTGAAAGTTACAGAAATATTACCAAAAGAAAATGTTTCTCGATATCATCTAGATAAGAATAAGATCTTCATAAATTTTTCGCGAACTCGCATCTTATCATAAAACAGCACAACATGAATTGTTGGTTAGAATTTCAGGAGGTAGCAACACACAATAGTGTGTTGAATTTGTAGAACACTTGGATTGTTACAATACCAGGAACACAATTGTGCCCACACTAAAGTCTTGTATTGAACGTATAGAGTCGCGAGATAAAGAAAAAATCAAATCTCCCGGTTGGTACAGCACAGTAAAGTGTGGGACTTAGCAGAAGCGCTTTACGACTAATTACGGGACTCGTAACACGACACTGTGGAGCAAACAAGCACCTTCACACCATGCGGTTTGTTGATGTGACGATAAAATAAATTTTGTAAGGTTATCTTACTGTAAACGATCGAACATTATTTTGGAGGAGTACTTATTGCAAAAATATGCGACCGAGTAAGTTTGAATCAAGTAGATGACGAAACCAGAGTAGGTCCAACGGTAAGATTTATAAGAGACCCGATTTAACCTACATACGATATATGTTTTTCGTTTGCTCTACCTTATCATGCACACATGTCCTACATGCGTGTTATCCATGTAAACATGGATACAAAGCATGATATGTAACGTAAATAGTTATTAAAGGTAAACAGAGATGACAAAAAATATAAATAAAATGTAGGTAATACATCAACAATTGAGATAGATGATATGGAAAGATTATATAACTGTTATAAATATCAAATCACGCCCATACAACAATAAACTATAGATCTGCTTCTAAAAATATATACGTAAGTTCTTTATAGTGCATTGAGAAGTTTCAAACCATAAATCTAACAATGGAGGAGCCTAGCCCAATGATATTGATATACGATATTGTGATAAGATGACTTTGTGATTTATATCATTGAGGTATTTTAGAAAATAAATTCAACCTCACGATTAAAGATAACCCATTCTTCTAACACACCCATTATTTATCAAAGAACATATTAAAAACTACTAACACTATAACGTAGTGTTAAAATAGCTTAATACACTACACAAGGTAATGACTACAACCTGCACGCATACAATAATAAGTAGCAATTGTTCAAACAATCATCTTGGCACGAGACCGGCGCAAAACCGTCTTTATAGTTTCCTTTGCACGTTGCACAAAAAGATCTGCATCGTATCGTTGATTAATCGATTTCGGAGATTCCGCGTTAACGTTGTGTCGTCGTTATTACGTTTCCAAGTTAAGGAAATAAGGCAATTTTAAAGCTGCCTTTGTCTCTTGAAACACTTACAGCTCTCGATCGAATTATTTCTGTCTCGATACGCTTTCCAACTTGCTCTCCACTCGAGCAACATAAGTGAGTCTATTGAACCATTACTGCTGACCTTGTATGAAGCACTCACCTGTAAAAGAAAACAAGATATTATTTTAAGAAAACTAGAGTATTAGAAATATAATAAAAATAAGTTTTTTAATAGAGCTAGAAAATCTGGTAGATTTCTAAGTTTTATTTGCTTTCACTCTCTAAAAATGTAAATAACTTTATGTTGGCACACTTATTCGTAATGTTTTGTTTCTAATTAAAGAAACGTTCTAGACCTAGACATACGCTTGAAGCAGACTATTACGTTTGTAGACTATAAATATGTATAAAGACAATGGTTATAAAAATAGTAACCACAACAATAGACCTGTTAAACGCAAAGTATTACATATTGTTGCATGAAATAAAGAAGTTTATTATAAGAATCAATAATAATAAACGAAAAGTAATAGTAACAGCCATTTTTTGTAAATTATGTTTTGACTAATAACTAGAAAAATGAGTCCATTAGCTCAGTTGTCGTTGGCGTAATTTTTCTCGTCCACGCAGCCGGGGTTATCAACGCGAATCCCCTTAATTTACTATGCAAATTCCGCCGTAGATTCCAGATAAACTTGAATTACAACTCAACATGCCCGCTATATACTGACCACTTTTTCATTGCGAGCTACTAACGTGAGAATACACACTTTGTTTTTACCTTACTATTCAGTTTATGGAAAATTCAACTTCCGTTCGTTCAAAACGAAAAGTAAATATATTGTTTAGCGGTATTAAATGGATTTTTTCTATCGTCGATATTCGATTAATCACCCACGTCTTGACGGTGTCCACGTGGATTTACGCGCGGACTTACTACAACCTGTAACTTTACACCTGAACACGACCGTTGCCCGAGGTATAACTTAGTTAAGACACGTTTTAACGCGATCGTCCCCCATTTGTTACTACTTCAGGAGAGAGAAGCTAAGAAACCAGTCGTGATTTATGTTTGTTGGGTTTGGCGCATTTCCTAGGAATTAGTATCTTTTCCTTTTCGAGGTTTTGAAAGGAATGGTGAATATTTTATAATCTCATAAAATTCTAAAAAAAATACGCTAAAAATAGCATTTACATTATTTCAAGTATAACAGCCATCTGAAGAGACGCACGGCTAAACCCGACTAGGTTTAGTGTTAGTTATAATGCTAGTTCTAGTTTTAGCGCTAGATTGTTGTGTATTTTTATTAAACTAAAAGTTGAACTAACACTAGACCTAGAACTCAATCATTTGGATTTAACCGTCTTAAGAGACGTACGTATGATTCCAGTTTTAGATCTAGTGTTAGTTCTAATGCTAGTGTTAGTTCTAGTTTAGTAACTAATAATGAACTGAACAGTATGGATAGCTGTACGAATTTGTGTGCATTAAAATTATTTATTCAAACAGCTTAAAGTGCAAATTAAAAATTTTTTTCTTCTCCATATTAATCTGTTACATCGAGGTTTTACTGTTTTATGGTTGAAAATAAAGATTGAAAACAAACATTTAATTTGTTTTCGTCATATTGTCGCCCTAGTTCTTTGATTATTAGTTACAGCTTAAAACACTTCACAAATCACTTCGTCACGCCTCCACTTGCGCCGTTCGCGTTTTTACCTTGGCCTTTTATCGCTTGGAACCGTAATAAAGTGGCGATTAATCGCCTATTCGAGTTATAAATCACCTATCGTTTTATCGATCAATCCCAAGGAAACGACAACGAAACCATTTTTCTTTATCGCTCAAACGAAAATCAACATTCGCCTTTTACCCATTGGATGATAATTCGGACGGCTGCAAATAGCGAAATAGACGGTAGAGGGTAATAACTCTGCTCTTATTGACGTCTATCTCGCAGTGCAATAAAGTATTGCCACCGTAAATTGCGAGTTGGAGGCTGCCGACTTCAAACTCAAACTACCGCGACGATGGAAAAAGCTGCACAATGAAATTGTAAATTTTCTGTTTTGTATCAGTAAAAACTCGATCGGGATTTTAGAAATTACACGAGGATAGTCCAAAAGCTATAGGAATTTCGGTGCGGGTTTAATTAATTTCCTTTTGGACGGATTATCGCCACTGCGATCGAGTTAATTTGATCCCGTGTTGGATACACGAGCCATTAGGTTAATGATTTCGACGATTTATACACCTTGGAAAACCCTAAATATATCCATTTCAATTTATAACCGAACTTTACGTTTATTTCAACATTTTTTTTCTGTGACAAATAACATTCGAATTTTGGATTAGTCAGACTTGAACAGAATCTAATCAGTCCGGTTTACACTCTGGATACTTCACTCCACATAGCATTCATGGTCTGAAGAATCCAGATTAGAGTCTTTATAGAAATATTAGAAAAATAAGCTTAAAGAGAGTGTGTACTCGATATCTCAGCATCCAGAGTCTT